AAACCCAATCCCGATGGCAAACACCGGGGGGGGCGGCTTGTTTTACAACGTGGTTGCCAAGCGACGAAAACCCAACCCCGATGGTAAACACCGGGGGGAACACCGGGGGGGGGGTGATCAAAGCAAGCGCCCGAATCGTTCCACTCCTACCTGAAGACATTTTCTCGAAGCAAATGGCCCAATAACTGAAGTGTGATGTTCGAAACAAAGAACCCAAAGCTTGAACGTTGCAGGTTTTCCTGACGGCAATAATGGGCGTTTTCGGAACATTCTCTTGCAGGTAAACCTCTGTCTTGAGAATTATCTAGTTGCTTCGCAAGTTTTCACGTTGTTGTGTGATCGTTAATCGCACACCCAAAAAAACGGGTGATGAACTTTTAGCTCAAGACGCAACGGAAAGTACCTCGTTGATCCCGTGGCGGCCAAGGTTGTTGTGCTCGACGTTGAGGTGTTGCAGGACGATGGTGTGACAGCGGAGCATCCGACCGATGGCCAGCCCGGCGGCCTTGCCCCGCAACTCAGTATACGACAGGTCGAGGTGTTGCGTGCACTCGTTCACGAGGGCACCGAGAATGGCCACCCCAGCTTCGTTTCTCAAAGGATTGCGGGATATGTCCAGCCAGCGCATGCGACAAGGGCGCACCTGGCATAGGTCCGAAGTGACGATGTCGGTGTAATTACCGAAATATGCGATTGATTGTTGGTATTTCTCGAAAAAAGCGATAGTAGTCGTGGGCATGCAGTGAGGGGGGGGGGGATCACCCTCCTTGTAAACGCGCTTGAGACAGATGTGAAAAAGGTTGTTCGACTCGTTACGCCTCCAACACGTCACGCCACCATTCGGGCGTAACCAAAGCACATACCACACGCAAACATGTTACCCGCAGCGGGAGAACAGAAACAGACATATTTACAACACTCACTGATTTCCCGTTGCGATAGAGCACCCGGAGCGACCTCGCCAACGCCATCCCGGCGACCGGCCCTAGGCCGTTGTCTGACATGTCCAACTCCTCCACGGTCCTGTTGCCGCCCAGTGCCCTGCATACGAGCGCCCCGCCGACCGGCCCCAGCCCGCACCGCGCCAGACCTAAGAAACGCACCCCACACCCATCCCTCCCCCCCTGCTCGTCATTCTGCAGGGCGCTCGCCAGCTCCCCCGCGGCGTTCTTGCTCAGGAAGTTGTCCGAGAGGTTGAGCCGCTCCAGCCCATGGGCGCCAGTGGCGAGGGCGTGAGTTACGGCTACCGCCCCCACGCCCGCGAGCGCGGAACGGCTGAGGTCGAGAGAGACGAGGCCGGCGCCCGAGGCTTGGGCAATGAAGCGACCGAGGTCGAGCGCCGCGGAGTCATTGACGGCTTCCCCCGTGAGCGTCAAGTGGGAGAGGGACTGGTGATCTGCGAGACCCTCGGCAATTCGCTGCATCTCTATGGTTGGGAGACGGTTGCCAGATAAGTTTAGCGATGTCAGCGTCTTGTTGATGCGAAGCCCGTGTCCCAGCGCAAGACCCAGGTCGCTCGGATCCCCGCCCTCTGCCGTAGCTATTCCCAAGAAGTTGTCGGAGAGGTCCAGGTCCTTGAGGGAGGAATTTTTCGCGAGGGATTGTCCCAGGTTCTTGGCGACGTTGGGGCCCATCCCGTTACCGGCTATCGCCAGGGTCTCCAGGGTCCGGTTTACGAGGAGCGACGTCGCGAATGCAATGCCCGCGTGGGTGCCGAGCTCGTTGCGCGAGAGATCGAGATGGCGGAGGGTCCTGTTCCGCTTCAGGGTTGCGGAGAACAGCTTGGCGGCCTTGTTGCCGAGATGGTTGTCGGAAACATCGAGCCTGGTGAGAGTGCTGCGTTTGGCGGCGTTGAGACGGAGCGCCAGCGCCTTGCCCCCTCCGGGCAGGAGGAGGTTGCCGGACAGGACAAGCCACGTCAGGGATCGGTGCCGTGCCACGCCGCTCGCGAAGGCATGGCCGGTGTCGCCCCCGAACAAGTTTCCCTTTACCTTCAAAACGATGAGCGTCCGGTTGTAGCGGAGCGCGTCGCCAAGAGAGGGGCCGGCGCTCGGAACGTGCATAATCTCCCCCGTGGGTAACCAGAACTTTCTCTCCCCCATCTGGTTGTCGGAGAGGTCCAGGTAGGTCAAGGAGCGGTTCTTCGTCACCATATCCGCGAGTCCGCTTGCGGCCTCCGGCCCGATCTTGTTGCCCGAAATGTCCAGGCGCTTCAGGACCTGGTTCTTTCGGGCGGCGAAGAAGATCTCCTTGCCGGCCCCGGAGTCGAGGGCGTTTGCGCTGAGATTCAGGTCCGTGATCGTCTTGTTGAGCAACAGCATATCCGCTATCCTGTAGCCCGACTTGCGTCGCATCCGGTTCCCGCTGAGGTCCACCCTCACCACGTTGATCCGCACCTGTGTCGTGTACGGGCTCGGCCAGGAAAAAGTTGTAGCCTGAACCGACAGAGCTCTGCAAATGGAAAGCAGGCTCTTGTACCCTCTGTCGCCCAGGCCACACCCCGCCAGGTCGACCTCTCTCCTGCTCGCGCACGTTGCTTCTCCCAAGCAGTCCCTCGTGAACCGCGCCCGTTTTCTCCAGCGGTGCACGTGAGCATACCCCTTGGGCGGCTTTATGTTGAAGGCCTCCGCAAGGTTCTGCGCTAGCTCCGACAGGTCGGGCTCCCCGTGCTCCGTCAGCAGGTCGTACTGGTGGGCGTTCCACCGCAGCTCGGCGTTCTGTAGCTCGTTCGAGAGGAACATTTCCGCCAGCCGTCCCACCTTCCAGGCCAGTGCTGCCACCTCCTCCTCGTCTGCTTCCTTCTGTCTCTCCTCCGTTACCACCCCTGCTCCCAATATGCCCCCCATATCCCCTAACGCACTACCGAGCCCCCCGCCGACGTTACCCCCGAGTAGTCCCAACCCTCCTAGCAAGGGGCTTTGACCCGCCTGGCTGGCGCTGTCGGGAAGGTCCAGGCCACAGTCGTTGAGACGCGCGGTCAGCGCTTCCATTCTCAGGAGAACCCGCGCCGTCTCCAAAATCCCCAGCAAGAGCGGGCTCTCCTTGTGAAGTGTCTCGGCATGGAGCAGAACGGGGTATAGGTGCACGAGCCACCTGGTGGGCTCCACCTCAGCGTTGATGACCGACTCGTGCAGGAGACTCAGACCAGTCGACGTCCGTGCCCTGCTGATGTCCAGGCCGCGCAGCGAGGCCCACCTCACCACGAAGATCTTGTCGCGTCGGGACAGCACGTTCGGCGGGGTTGGAGTTGGCCAGGCGAGGAACGCGGACCAACGCTGTTGTTCCAACAGATCATCCCACTGCATCAGTAGCCGCACGCCCGTGTGGGAGCACTCCAGCCCCAGGGACTGCTGCCTCACCTGACGGAAAAGGAGGTCGTTGACCCTCTCGTCCGCCGCTGCCAGCGTCTTCCCTACGAACACCATAGCCCCCCGCACGACTTCCCCCAAGACTAACGCGGCAGCTATTCCGGCCAGCCCCACCGCCAGCAAGAAAACGTCCACGACGTACTGTGGGACGGCCCCTCCAGCGCCCGCGGCCCCGATACACAGCACGAGAATCAAGGCCACCCTCAGACCAGTGTCCAGCAGGGCCTCACGGTAGTACAGGAACGGCTCGGCTCGTAGGGCCCATGTCTGGAATACGGCCAAGACAAGAGCTCCGACGAGCAGCTGCGTGGAGGCCGGGCCCAGGTGCTGGGACACCACGACAGCTGTCACGAAGACGCCCCGTTCCAGGCCGTCGACGACCTTCCACTCGGACCTTTGCCACGTGTAACTCTCGGAGAGGTAGAGCAAACCCGAGGTGTCCACTACCGACTCCCAGCAGGTGATCTCCAGGCTATGGTCCGACTCGAAGTCCGACAGGGCGAGGATGAACTCCTGGGAGGCGTTGGCGAAAGCCTCTCGCTCCGCCTGAAGCGCCTGCCTCATCCCCACCGTGGCCTTCCTTCGACCGCGCCAAAACTCTGCAAGACGGCTGTGGTTCTTTTCCGATTTCTCCGTCAACGCCTGCTGCTGCTGCCGCCGCTGCAGCTCGTTGTTCTTTGTAGCCCCCCGATCACCGGCCTTGTATCGCCGTTTCGTTTCCTCTGGCCCACTTCCAACGGTTGTAGTCTCTGCGACCCGTGCCACCCCTTCCAACACGGCAGTGGCCCCCGTCGCACTTTCTGAGAGCACCAATGTCTTCTGGGTGCTGTGCTTGTCAGCAGGACTGTACAGATCCACGTCCCCGAGAATCGTGCCAGGTGTCCGAATGGGTGCTGGTGGGTCCTTGTTGTCTTCCTCAATGCGAGCATTTTTTCCCAACCCTGTTTGAACTGTAGCGGTGGTAGCACCAAGCTCTTCGTCGGAAGAAGAGAGTATTTTTCGACCAGCACCTGCCAGAGAATACATTTCCTTTTTTCGTCGCCGACGCCGAATGCCCGGCAGCCGGCGGACGAGAGGGACCCGGCGCAAGGAAACCACCACCACACGTAACGCGCGCCGGCGGACCCGATTCGCCGCATTCCGGGCGAACGCAATCTCTCTCCTTCGCCTGGCCAGCCACACGATATCCTTGGGGAACGGCGTCAGGGCTTCGAGAGTGCTCTGGTGAACTTCCCGCGCCTGCAAGAAGCTCCTGATGACGTCAACGTTGGCATTAAACCCTTCAAACAGAAACCGTACCAGGTATCTGACCATGGTGGGTAGGCCGCACGCGAAGAAAAGGACGAGGCAGGCCGAGAGCGTGTGCACCGCCACCCCGCTCGTGCTGGTGCACTCCAAGACAATCATCTCGGCCGTCCCCTCGAGCTGAGGCGGGAATCCCATGAAGTTGCACCAGACGTGATGGTTGTACTCCCTTCGCGATTCATGCGCCCACTTGTCGTTCCAATCGAACTCCGGCACGAGTGCTCGCACGATGCTGGCGGTGACAGGCACGTACGCTAGATGGAGGAAGAACAGGCAAGTGCGACCCTTGGTCTTCACCACATGTTTCTGCGACGTTTGATCGGTGCATGTATGCATTGAGAAAATGTGCGATCAGTGTATTAGGAGGAAAGAGCTGTGTCCAGCCAGTGAGCATCAGCGTGGTGGACGGCTGATTGGAGGTACGGAGCGGTCTGGTGGACCCCAACGTAGTCGACTTGCCACGGGTAGAGCTCAATGTGTTTGGTTAGAGTTCCTCAAGACGACTAGGATGGGACGTTAGGGGGTACCGGTAGCGTTTCCAATGTGTCCTGTGTCGGTAGGTTTGACGACAAATGCCACGCACATACCCCTTCGCCCATCCATCTCGAAGCACTCACCATTGCAATCATGAAGGAGTACTCCGCATCGTGTTTCGTGGCCATTCTGACGTTGACATGGACCAAGAGCGACAGCAGAACTACGAGTATCCAGGAGACCGTTAGGAGCGTACCCCCGACTACGATCACAGCCTTCACCACGTCCGGCGGGAAAAACACTTCCCCAAAGTACGTCACGCCCGCGAACGCCACGTAACAGAGACCCAGATTGAGAACGTATCTCGGCAGTGTTCGCCTGAACCAGTGCGTCAAGAAGCTACGCCTCCAAGCGGCCTTCGGCTTGGAGCTCGTATAGTCCGGCATCTGCAGCACGAAGAAGAGCACGAACACGGCCACCGACGCGGCGCAGACTTCGACGCCATATCCGATGACATCACGGAAGAACCACAGGTCCAGCTGCGCATCCCCGAATGTCAGAGAAAATTCGCGCCCAACACGTCGAAGGAGGACGAGCGCAGGCCACCGGAGGTACTGATTCGTGAGCCAGACCCAACTCCACATCCGCACGAAGAGGGGCGGCCAGGGTGCTCCGTAAACGTCGAGGGCCAGCGCCAGGAATTGCAGGGTTATGACAATGCGTTCCGCTTTGAACCAGAGAGAACCCCCTCCGCTTCTCAGCGTCTCGTCGCCATTATCGTCATCTTCAACCTCGTCCTCTTCGTATTCTTCGTACTCTTCGTTCTTGCCCTCGTCGTTACCGTCGTCGCGGTTTTTGTCGGTCTTGCCGTTTGGTTCTTCTTCAGAAGGACGGCTTGTTCTCGGAGTTGTACATGCATCCTGATGTGGGTTGTCACTATCGTCGGTACTCTTGTTTTCATCAGCCGGGCTAGCGACGCCCCCTTCGCCGTTTCCTTCGTTTTCTGCCATTAGTCGTGCTTGTATATCGTTGCCGTCGTCGTCTGATACTGATTGATTTCTGCTCTTCTGAAGCTGCGGCTGCGGCTGCGCGGGTGTATCTCGCACCGCTTGCACGTCGGATGTCGTTGTTTCTTCCGGCCTGATGAGAACACTGCGACGCCGATCGCAGTCTACGAAACTCTCACCGACATGTCCGTTTGTTCCTGTAGACCTTTTCTCCCGACGTTCTCTGTGCCAACCATCAATATGAGTAGTAGACCGACTGGGATGATGATGAGCACGTTGCTCATCCTGATGACTAGTCTCTTGTCCCTCGCGGGCGATGTTCTCGCTTTCCTCGGGGCGTTCAGTGCTAAGCTCGCTGGTAACCAAGAGCAGCCCTTCATCTTCACCGTTGCTGACGTCCCCTTTTGCTTGACCTAAGCCTTGTGGCAGCTCTACGTGGATCTTGGGCCGCCTCACGCGCTTGTACTTTTTCACCCGCATGTTGTTCCAGCTGTGTGTGTTGTACACATAGCCGAAGAATGGATAATTTACACACAAAAATGTATACGTTGCGGACGGAATGGTTGTCATGTGTGCCGATATTTCATTACATGGTGTTTCTGAATTGTAGGGAGGTGCTCTGTCCACGTACGTTCAGCTGCACGTTTGCATGATATTTACAGCACATTCATCTGGACACCGCCGTGGCATCGCGCGAACATGCCGGTTATTGCTTTTGTCGAAAAGTTGGCTATCCATAGATACATGCATGCGACGGCACGACGCGACATCTGTCTCTGAGCTTACAACGCACCGTATTTTAATTGAAATCGGGCCTGTTTGGTTGGCCGATTCCCTGACACGCCTTCGAGCCTACCGGGATGATGGGTGGGTGGTTCCAGGAGGCCTCGCCTCAAGTCAGTCAGCAAGAGTCATGTGGAGAGGCCGACGACTTGACGGGTTCTGAGCACAGCATAACACCGGCGAACCGCGATAAACAATACACGGGCACCATGTTAACTTTACACACAGCCGCAGAGTCGGGTCGGACGCTCGGTACGGCGCGGTGAGTGCATGTCCTGCGATGGATATGTATTCTAGGATACCAAACCAGGCAGGGATTTTCTTTCGACCTTTCGGTCGTCGATTTGTTCGGACCGTTCCCAAAAAAGGCACTACGGATCTACTGATCTGATTTTGTGCCCTGAAACGGCTATAATTTGACAGAGCTCTCCAGTCTCACAAAAACATCAGACTTCTTTTTTTATTTTGAAATCTCCCATCCTGAATCATCCTGCATCATCGAAGCCCGCCTACCAGCCTACACATAGCTGCCTACAAATGCACCCACCCCCGCCCAAGAAGAGACGACCGATCAAGTGAGTGTATGCAAGCAGAAAAGATTGACCACAGCGGCAGCGGGGGGATGGGTGGTCGTGCGAGCTACACTCTTCTCTCTCTCCTTCCCCCTGTGTGCTACTCCGCGCGTGTGTGTCCATGGGTGATGATGAAATCACGATCATTCAAAACAGCCAACACCTCACACACACTCCCCCTCCCTCGTTTTTGTGCATGATCTCCCGAAGGTAGCAGCAGCAGCAGCAGCAGCAGCAGCAGCAGCAGTAGCAGCAGGCCGTGCATACAGCAGAGACCGTCCACCCTCATCATCACTGAAAGAGAAAGAAGGCCGGAAGGCGACGGCAGCAGCAGTAGCAGCACCAGCACCAGCATGGCGTCTTCGTCGTCGTCGCACCAGAACGCGGCCAAAAAGATCAAGGCCTTGCTTCGGCGAACGCATTTCCCGGTCGCGCGGTTGAGGCAACTCCCTCTGGTCACAGCAGCACCACCAAGCGGCGGGCTCGCTCCCACAGTGCCCGCCGCCGCTAGTGGCGGGGGAAACCCCTGGGACGGGATCGTGAGCGGCGATCCGAGAGCGGCCCTGGTGGTGCTGCACTGGACTCTGCTCGACATGTCCCCCCTCTTTGCGACGCTGCTGCTCGACAGGGATTACGCGGGCCTCACGAGCGCGACGGATTTCAAGTTCGTCGCGACCAGCCTGAGGATGCTGCGGGATGAGTTTAACTGTAGGCCACAGCTTACGGTAAGAGCGGCTGAGAGAGAGATGGCCGACGCCCGTTGTTTTTGTGTCAAGCGTATTGCTATTTACGCTAGCAGAGAGCATCGTCCGTGGAAACGAGCGTGGTGGTGCGCAGCAGAAGGCGCGGGCAACATTGCTTTTCCAGCACAATTTTTGAAAATCATCTCTGTTTGGAAGAGCCGCGGCATCGTCAGTAGGTTTTTTGTTCGTCTCAATAACGTCCCCACGTTTTCCCCCACATGCCGAACCTCAAAACACGCGCGTGGTGCGTTCATTCCCAGTCTATAAGACACGGCCGTGAGATGGTTAGGTGCTCGGGGTGTGCTCTGTTTGCAAGCAGAGAAGGCGTCCAAATTGCCAGCAAGCAGCGATCGACGTGAAAAAAGTATCTTTACGCCTGCTTGTGTGTTATGCGATGAACTGTTGGGCTGACGGGCGTTGTGTGGATATAACTGCTTGTAGATACACAGCCGCAGCGGCCTCTTGCATGCACGCTGCTGTGGCGTGGGTACAGGTGCGCAATTTTTGGTGTAGTGTAGCCATTGCAACGGGAGAGATCCCTGTGGGTGGATGGATAATTCGAATCAGTTGATGTCCCCCTCGGCGGATCTCGCACCTATACTGTCCCACTGGCGTGCTAATATTTACTTCTTCTGTCGGGACGCAAACACACAAATCTACCGAGCAACCATCTTCGTAGGCCGGACGCGAACTGATGCTGCCATTTGATGTCTGGGAGTCAAGGGTCGTTCGTGAACTAGAAATGCCAGCCTTTCGGCGCACGCAACACGACTTGACGAAGCTTCGCTCCGCCGACCAAGTTCGCTTTAGAAATCAAGGTCGTGACGCCGGAAACAAATTTTGCAGCATTTTTTTGTGATGAAAAAGTCGGATTAGTTTTTCGGTGCTGTACCGCATGCAACGACCGCTGCACCGCACATCTGCAGGGATGTGGAAAGGATTACCCGCCGTGTGGTGGGTGTTTGTGTGCTTCTTAGCTTTCAGATCCAGCAGTATTTGGTGCATCCGTCAGGTAATATAATATGTCCCTATGTGGCCCCGTTGAATATTCTCGTTCAAGACAATATCGCTTTTGGGGATGTGAATCCCCGCGTGACGTCATTTGTCGGTTTTGCATGTCACCTTGTATGAAACGGACGGGGTTGCCGTCGTACAGCAGTAAACCCGCTTATGTACCATGTACGTAGTATGCCCAACCCCAGCACGCGGGGACGTACGATTAACTTTGCACCACGATGCGGTCGGTGTCTCTCTTTCCGTCGCAACACCGCACACCACTTGCTGCGGAAGGAAGCGGCCTGGGTTCGCCTTTCCAATCCTTGTTGCGGTCGCTCACGAACCGCAGGAGGGGGTCCAGCCCCCCCCTCCTATGTGACCCCGGTTGGGTCGTCTAGCCAGGTAGAAGTGGAGGATAGGGGCCAGAGGGGCAGACCACAGAATCCGATGATGGGAGAAAAAAAAAGCAAAACATTCTTGCAACTACTCTGCGGCGGCCTGCCTCCCTCGATACCTCAACTCCCATGGCCAAACAGCATGGATTTGGTATTTGTGTGTGTGGTCGTGTGTGTCCAGCGCGAGACCCGCGAGAGAGATCGGTGCTGTTGGTGAACGTGGCCAGATACACAGCAGCGGGCGGTATGAAGCCCATCCGCAGGAGTGTTAATGTTTCCGTCGGTCCGGCTTTATCCGTCGGCCTTGACCAGCAGCCGTGATTACTCGAAAAGATTCCCGCCCCCCGTCTCGAGCCGAAAATCTCAGTCCCTTCCCGTCCATGAAACCGAAACATTCGTTCGGCTCTCTCTACGCCGTCGGCGTTGGGGGGGGGGGGGGGGGGGGGG